CGCGCGCACAGACACACAAACCTTTTGCACCTGCCAGCGCGTCAGCCCACGCAGCATTTCTCTCCTGTTCTTTCCCTCCATTCCCTCATCTTCTCTCCAGTGTTGTGCCCTCATGCTGCAAAAATTCACATCAGCAGTGATACTCCCCAAAGGTACACAAACAGAATTTCTCTCAGCTCTCCGGAACTAATAAACAGCAAAGTTGCTGCCTTGGACAAACTTTGTAGATGTGGGAGCTGCTTAGACCTTTGAGAAAACCAAAAAACCAAAAAGCCAAGAACAACAAACGAAAACAAATCTCGCATGCTTTTCTGTCCTCAAGCATCCCTGATCCCTGTTTCTCACTGTCACATGTTCCCCCCACCCACTTCTCTGGTCTCTCCCACCAGACTTAAGTGCTTCATTTAAAAAAGTAGGGGGAAAAAAGGGCTCTTAAGGCACTCTGCGGGTCCCTGGCTAAACCGAGTGTGCCATGTGTGCTTTATTCTTACTCGGCTGTATAATGGAAAAATTCTTAAAACTTTCAAGTGAATGGAGAAGGTTCACGAACTCCCGCAGCTCCTTCCTTCAGCCCCCCTCCCGCCCCCATGGCTTTAACTTTTTGTTTCCCTCGCAGAAATGCTTGGCATTGTCAACCTATCATTAGCGCTCTGGATTTATCTTTTTTGAATTTTGGCAGCTACACAGTGAGCTGTAGTATCCCCTATTTTTCAAAATAAGACCTAAGTGATAAAAAAAAAAGCTTTCCATAGTGATTGCTTTGCTGGGGGTGGTGGTTTGGGGGGAGGGTTCATTTGTGATGAAATGGGTTATAACTGCATGACTTGTTTTCCGTTCTTCTTCTGATGCTATTCAAACCCCTAATGGAATAGCTATGCAACAAGCTTATGCACACACTGCACCACCACAGATTCGTATTGAACCCCCCCCCCCCAAAAAAAACACACATTCCCTGAATAAATCACCTACAGCATGCACACACTGACACAGATTTTGTGCGTACTCATCTAATGAGGCCAAATTATAGCACATCCTGCGATGCTTTTCTATTCCATTGACCCACTTTCCCTTATTCCCCTTTGAAAGCGCAAATACGAATTTTCCATTTAAATAACAGAACGGCTGATTAAGTCGCTTCAACTTTCTTTTCTTCTCCTGCTGCTGTTGTTCCTCACTCTCCCTGGACTTTTCAGCCTCTGAAGTGCAGTACAGAGAGAGAGCAAGGGAAAGAGATAAACTCACTTTAACCTCACAAGACCTCCACCTCTGTCGCTTGCTGCTCATCTGGAGTCTCCACGCAGCTTGAAAGCAGTGCATCTCATATGATGGTGACCTCACCGTGTGGGCTTCGTGACAGTGCACCTGATACAGTTGCACAGACTCTTCTCTGGGGGGGTAAAGGAAAGGTTTCTATGGAAAGCAAAGCAGTGGACCAAAATACAGCTTTATCACCATGGTGATTCTCTATATGTTGAAGCTCTGGGTTGTTGGTGTGCTGACCAAGGGTGCATGGTGGATGTGGAGATGCGTGGGGTTAACGTCGTAAATCTTTCTCCTTCCTTGTGTGTCTCTAATTGTTTTTTCCCCGTCTCCCTTTCACATATGCTCCTACGGTGGCTCCTTGTTATTTCAGCTCCCCCTCCCTCCTCTGTATTATGTGTTGCTGAGGAAGTGTGCCAGTGCAGGGAAAAAGCTACAACATCAGAGCAGGGCTGATTTCAAAGCTGGGGTAGGAGGGGGTGTTGTGCATTATGCATGGCCTCCTACACGTACATCCGTCACACACACACACACACACACACACACACACACACACACACACACACACACACACACACACACACACACAC